TGGTGGTGGTGGTGATGATGGTGGTGGTGGTGATGGTGATGATGATGGTGGTGATGGTGATGATGGTGGTGGTGGTGGTGATGATGGTGGTGGTGATGATGGTGGTGGTGATGATGGTGGTGGTGATGATGGTGGTGATGGTGATGATGATGGTGGTGATGGTGGTAGACTCCAAACATTTCCTGGGCACCAGCTCTTGCCAGGCCCTCCAATATGCCATGGACTGGCCCTCTTGCTCTGACTTCTCACCTCTTTTTGTCTGTGACAAGGGACCCAACCAACATGATCACACAAGGCCATGCCTTGGGAAACATCATGCTCCCTTCTAGCTGTCAACCAACAAAAAGGAGGCTGTTGTTCTTCCTCACACAGAGCCCAGCTGGACACAGCCCGAGGCCCCAGGGCCGTGAAAGGTGGTCCTTTCATGACACCTACCTCCCCAGAATGGCTCGGAGATGTTGCCCAGACTTGACCCCTGACTTTTGCTTTCCTCTAGGGACCCCCTGGAAAACAGGGACTCTATGGACCCCCTGGTGCAAAGGTGAGTGGGCACTGGCTGGTTTTGAGGGGAAAAACTCATGAGTGATGAAGGCCAATTCTATGCTATGACTTTAGCCATGGAGAGGAGACACAGGAAGGCCAGTGGGCAGGAAGAAAACCTGGGCAGAACTCAGAACTTGGAGCAACCTCATCTCTAAAAACTTCTCACATGGGCCTATTTATTAGCTACGATTGGGAGGATAGAAATCTCAAGTTCATTCACTCATTGACCAGTGGATGGATTCATTCATTCATGCTGCAGGCATCTGCTTGATCTCACTTACATTCCAGACCCTCTGTCCCAGCCTTGGATAAATAGAGGTCTCCGAACAATAACCGCTCACTGAGTCCGGTCACACTTACGCTAGGGCACAGTAGCCTTTTCAGAAGATTAGACATAACACCCAACTCAGCCTGGGAGTCAGGGAGGCTGTGCAAAGAACAGGAGCATTTCAGCAGAACGGGAGGAGTGTATGGGTAGAAGGAGGGGAAGAGCATTCCAGGCAGGGAGGGCTAAGACGGCATGGCCGAAGCAGAGTTCTAACCAGTGAGGTATGGCTGCGGGTGCAGGGGCCTGGAGATGGGCCTGGAGAAGAGGTGGTCAGGACCACATCACGAATGATCTTGAATGTCTGGCCAAGGAATCCAGTTTTATCCTGAGGGTGGGCGGGAGCCATCAGAATTTCTAAGCAGGAAGTAACGGCACGAAAACTGTCTTTTCAGAGGACCGCTCTGGAGTCCTTGTCAGGATGCTGTGGCCACTGTCAGAGGAAGATGCCAGGGGCCGGGTGGGGGGATGGAGAGAGAGAAAGGCCAATGGCTGCGACATCATGAAGTGGCCATACTGGATGTGACTTCTTGTCCTTGCAGGGTGATCCGGGACCTTCAGGACAGAAGGGCCAGGCAGGAGAGAAGGGGAGAGCCGGCATGCCTGGCGGGCCTGGCAAGAGTGGCTCCATGGGGCCTGTTGGGCCACCGGGTCCGGCAGGAGAGAGAGGCCACCCTGGCTCCCCGGGGCCTGTGGGGAGCCCCGGCTTGCCTGGGATGCCTGGCTCCATGGTAAGGAGGAAGCCTGGCAGCCAGGGGCACGGTCCCACAGAGCAGGCAGACAGGGTGGGTGGAGCAGAGACCATTTTAGAAGCTCCTGCTGACCCTCTGAGGGAAAGAGCATGACTCCCATATAGATGCTTCACCTGTGTGGGGGAGAGTGGGGGAGGTTTGGGAACCCTCTCCCCAGAAAAATGCACTGTGTTTTGCACCATTTCAGGGGGATTAGGACCTTGGGTTAAGTACCTGTGGGAGGCTCCTAGAAGCTTTGTTCCCTTCCTTATCCTTTATTTCCATAAGGTCTATTCCCAGGGGGGAGAGCACCAGGCTTGGAAGTATAATTGAGGCAGGTTTTCTTTGTTTTCCTCAGGGAGACATGGTGAATTATGATGAAATCAAGAGGTTCATCAGACAAGAGATCATTAAAATGTTTGATGGTAATTGGCAGCTGGCTGGGCAGCGGTGGGCGCTGCTGGCCCTTCCCAGCTCTTTTTCCACCCTGCCCTGGCCTCCTTTTCCTTCAAGCTCAGTGCCCCTCCCCAGGCACCCACCACCCCCCTCAACTTACAGGCATATGTTCAGTTAGACGTCAGACCTTCCTTATCACCTGCTCAGTTCAGAGATAAAATGACTCCCCCCCACCTCCCCCGCGCTCCCTGAGCCCCCACTGGAGCAAAGGAGACAGACAAGAAAATTGAAATCAAACGAGTCTGCGTGAAGTGAGCTCTAAATAGAGGGGCGAGCAGCAACCGTAAGAGAGCTGGGGTGGTTTCACTTTTAAGCTTTTTTCCTGTTCATCTGTTCATCCAGCCTTGCCATGCTAGGGCCTGGGGAGAACATGGACCCTGTCCTGATGGGGCTAGCCATCTTGCTTGGGGAGCGGAGGTTGAATGCCAAGCAAGGAGTCTGGACTTTACTGTGAAGCCAGTGGTGGACTAATGAGGGTTTCGGAGGGGAGGGAGGCCATCATCAGGTCCGTGCTCCCGAGAGACCACTGTGCAGAGGAAGGTGGAGGCGAGGGCACGGGAGGCCACTCAGGAGATCAGCCCCCGTGTTCCCTGCTCTGACTCCCCTTTGAAGCAAGGCCAGTTGGGACTCGATGCTGGCAGCCCTTCTGCACCGGTGTGAGGCCCCGGGGCACCCTGTGACCGGTCCCTGGCCTTTCTTACAGAGAGGATGGCTTACTACACCTCCAGGATGCAGTTCCCCATGGAGATGGCTGCAGCTCCGGGTCGCCCAGGGCCCCCAGGGAAGGATGGTGCTCCAGGCCGGCCAGGCGCTCCGGGGTCACCCGGACTCCCTGGTCAGATCGGCAGGGAAGGACGGCAGGGCGTGCCAGGAATGAGAGGTAGCTCTGCCCTCCAGCTCCCCAGGCGCACCTGGAACTCTCTGGGGGCAAACAGGAGCATTGCATGAGGTCTATCATGACTCTGACATTCGTGTGCATGTGTGTGTTTCAAATAATCTGCCTGGGCGTGTCATTTTTCTGCTCAGGAATAGGACTTATTTTATTTCTTTTGTCCCAGGATTGCCCGGTACTAAGGGTGAAAAGGGGGACATTGGTATCGGCATTGCAGGAGAAAATGGTCTCCCCGGCCCCCCAGGTAGGAAGAGCCAGAATGTGAGAGCATGAATCTTGTAGAATGTTCCTTCTACAACACAATGTATTTGTGTAGAACCTCAAATAACTACAGGCCTATCAGCCACCATTTACAGTCATGCCAGGGTGTGCAGAGGGGGGAGTGGAGGACCCAGGGCCCGTCCTCAAGTCCTAAACCAGGCTAGCGGGACACAGGGAAAGGTAGTTGGATATGGTGGGGCCAGGGAAGGTGAGTTCAAGTCCTGCTAGCATCATCCTGGCTGTCCAGACTTGACAAGGTCACTAAGTCAGGCTGTGGAGCCTGAAAGAGAAGTGACTGTAGCCTGCCGGCCTGGCTCTGAGACCCAGCCTCACTGAACACCTACCCCACGTGGGCAACCTCTCTGAGCGTGCGTCGTCATCTACAACATGAGATAGTTTCTTTCTCACAGAATCGTTGTGAAGATTCATTGAATTATACATCAAAAGCACTCGCCTTGTGCCTGGCACACAGGAGCTCCCAATAAAACTGGCCAGTAATATTGTTGTTATTGTTACATTAACGTAAGGATCAGATCAGGTCTTCTCGAAAACCTGTTGTAACCTGACAAATATTTATCACGCATAAGGTATTATTTACCACGACCACGATTTCTTCTTTTCTTGTCACTTGGGTCTCCTGACCTTCCTTCTCTGACTCTTCCCCCCCCCCCCAGGTCCTCAAGGCCCTCCAGGGTATGGCAAGATGGGCGCCACTGGACCGATGGGCCAGCAAGGCATTCCTGGCATCCCTGGCCCCCCGGGTCCCATGGGCCAGCCAGGCAAGGCTGGCCACTGTAACCCCTCTGACTGCTTTGGGGCCATGCCCATGGAGCAGCAGTACCCACCCATGAAGAACATGAAGGGGCCTTTCGGCTGAAATCACCAGCTCTGTCAGATGAAGGACTCTATTGGGAACATTTGGCTGAAACTTACAGGACTCTGTGATGGGTTGTGAATGTTTTGTTTTTCTTAATTGCTATTAATATTTTTTTATCAATAAATGAACAAAACTACCTGCAACCCCACTTCCACGGGGTTCTCTGCTGCTGCCACCGCCTGTCATCCCCCTGTTATTTGGGCCCAGGGTCAAAAAAAGGGCCTTTCTCTCGTGTCTGCGGTCAACTGGCAGAGCTGTGGGATGCTGCTGTTGAGGGTGCCCCCAGCTCGGCTCTCCTTTCTAGATGCTTCCGAGTCATGCTTTGGTCCCCTGTGGACCTTGTGTCCTGCCCTTCGGGGCACACTTCTCGAAGTCAGAGAAGGCGTCACATAGCCTGTCCCCATAAATGAGCCAAAAGCAGACTTGAAGGCCCCACTTAATGGCTCGTAGAGGGCCCTTCCTGGTTGCTTCCCCAGAGAAATCGGTGTTTAGTACTTCTCGAGAGCGGCCCAGAGCCGATCCAGGGTGCACCTGGGGAAATGCCACCCAGCGCGGGGGCATAGTCGCCTGCCTGCCAGTCTCTCCAAGCGAGCAGGCTCTTCTCACTGCTCCAGTAATTCTGTCATTAGAACGTCTGTGCAAACAGGAAAGATAGGCTTCAGCTCCCGGCCTACGCAACCAGGGACGGCTTCTCCAGGAAATGAAATGGAAGCTTCTGCCTGACGCTTGCACAGCCCTGTCACCAGCTCTCCTGGACTGCAAATGGCGTCTTTTGTTAAACTTTGTTCATCTAATGGGTGTGGTGCTTTTCCTGCATATCTTAGCCTAGGCCTTCAGAAACAGGTTGCCTCAGTGCAAAAGGGTCATGGGCAAGCCATGATCAGATCTAAGCCCCGGCGGGGGGGGG